AGGCAACCGGGTCGATCGGTTGCTTTGGTGTCGACTAAAATCAGCAGATGGTGCAGAAAGTTCCACAGGATTGGAGTGAGCTGAGAAGGACGGTCTGTCGCGGAAGGCGAAAGATACACTTAGGAAAATATTTGCGTCTTTCACGTAATCAATACCTTTGAAAAGAATACTCAACAACAACTGTACAATTAGAAGGACCAGGACAGAACTGTTACATGATTGATGAATTGAATATCGGCTGAATGTAGTAAGCACCTTCCCCCCCCCTTCTCACATACAGACACAAATCTATCTTTTCTACCTTTCACTTCCGAGTCTAATTTGCTGCTTCAAAAAGCACAACCAAACGGACACCTTTATCACCAATAAACTGGATAAAAATAGCCCAAATTCGGAAGGAAAACTGCACCCCATGTAGTCAGGCTCGAACCCTTTCTGACTGAGTCTTACTACGCGAAGATAGATAGTACTAAGACGAACCGGATTAGGCGGATGCAGCCATCTTGCAAACATGGCTGGTCTATTTCAATTTATACCTGTTTTATGCATTCTCGATCGAGGTCTTATTCATTTCACACACAACCACATGCACTTTTTTAACCCTGTTTTCACGATCCATTTCTTATGACCTCAGGATTTGTTGTCAACCGACTATTTCCTACACAAATAGACAAGCCCACATTCATTGAAATTTATTAATCGACTGACTAGTTGAACTAGATATATATGAGTGCATGAAGCCACGTATGGAAAAGAAATTAGTTCCAGTTCCCACTTTGTCCATGGAAATTCAACTCCAATTTTCTAGTCTGCTACATAGTGCCACTGTGAGATCAACAAGCATCAAAATTAATGAGTTGGAAGGGGTGGTAGACAAACTATTATAATATATGTATATTTAAAACTCGACACAATAAAAAGTGGTAGCAGTGAAGCAGTGAGTCAGTGAGTGAGCAGTTGTTTTCGGATATTCCTAGTCACGCTCTTACACATCATGTGGTGTGAAAATGTTTACATATTGAAAGCCATAGCGCTTGAAATACAGCCGGTTTTTCACTAACCTGACAGTCGCCGGTGATGCGGATGCAAACGGAAGACAAACTGCCGAATCTGAGCTCATTAATGCTAATGTATTCTTTTAATTGCGTCCGTGGTGTCTGTTACATAAGATATATGGTAGGGCGTTAACGGACACCACCCACAATGGTTATGTCAGAAAAAAACAGCTGCATCTGAAGTACGATCGTGGGTTCCCTCGTTGACAATGGGCACAAGATTGAACCAGAGAAAGCTTTCGATTCTATTTATCTCATCTTACTCAATCGATTGAAGGTGGCCCGAATTTGGACGCTAGATGGTCAAGGCATTCGCCATTCCCTTACCAGGCCCCAACCTGTGCCCAAAAAAAGACTGGTCCAAGCGCTTCAATTGCTATTAAATGATTGGAATTGGCCATCCTTCAGACTTCACCTTCGCGCGCATTCCTCGGCTCTTCCAGCCAACCATAAACTCAGAGGGGTTAAACTCACGCTTTTATCGTAGTAGAGCTCATCGGTAATGCATATACACCGTCCCGTTCGTCATTTGATCTCCGGACCCATCACATGGAAGGCGTGTGTTACCACTGCAATGGAAGGTTTTCGGTTGGAGTTAAAAGATAGTCAACTGTGTCTTCCATCGTTGTTGGGACCACAAATGACTGACTGACTATCACTGAAGATGACACATGAACATACATAGAATGGTGGTTCTATTCAGTCCTGGTATGAGCTGGTTGGCACAGTGGTAACACACAAACTTTCCATTCCATGGGTTCACAGTTGGAATCGCGGACGGGACGGTGGATGAGCATTATAAATGAGCTCTAATAAGAGTGAAACTCGAGTCCGGTGCTGCCAAGCTTACCGGTGAATGGAATAACTGAGAATTTTAGGTGAAGGTAATGCCTGAAGGAGGGTCACTTTCAATCCTTTATTAACAGTTATTTCAGAACACTACTTCAATTGCCTTGACTGGGTGTGAAAATCAAGACAGAACATGTCATATCATTTGACTCAAGTGAGGGAAAGGTCACATCAACTAACACGTCAAGCATCCTTCCCCTCCTCTCCCGCGCGCGCGCGCCGGCACACACACACACACACACAAAGAGATACACAGATATACACACATATGCTCCCTTCTGGTATGCCTCCGGTTAATCACCCAAAACTGAGCCAGCGATTATCAGTATGCAAGCATTTTTCCACTAAATGACATTCAGGAGCATGACTAAGGATATCCAAAAACAATTGTGCGCTCACCGACTGATTTCCTCAAAATACAGATGGCAAAGCTACGGTTTCAAACAAACAAATTACTCACTTTATGTAAGCTGGGAGTAGATACATGGGTGATTTCCCTAATGTCGAATGTGTGTGGATCTTTGGAACGGGAACTAGGGAATCAATGAACTCGGCATTAGCCCACTGAACGGAGGCCCCCTTGTATGTGGCTGAGGCGTATGAAAATGATGATGAAGGTGATGCTGCTGCATGTGCTCGTTCATAAATCCGGTCGAATTGATCGCATGATTGCGTAACTCAAAGCGACTGAATGTGTGTCCACCACTGCTCAAACCGGTATCGCCACCTCCACCACTGACTGTGCCACCGTTCCCCAGAGCACCGGTGAATGAAATTCCGTCCAGATCGGTTGCACGAGAATAAGGCAGAGCGGCCACCGTGGACAGAGGTGTTTCTTGGCTCGGGAACGGAGACATGGTGGGTCGATAGTGCAAACTGTCCATCGGACCTGGACCGGTACTCGGCCCCGTATACGATCGTAGATTTGGACTAACCGGATAGGTATCGGTACTTGTGAAACCGGCCATACTCATGATTTCCCTTTCTTCTCCGGGTACTCTCTCCAGATCAGCGATATTTGGACCGGAATAACCTGTGTGATTCCTGAAAACCGATGCGTATATATTAAATGTACTTGTTCTGCATTTGACCGTTTTAGGAGAACATTTCAATCGAGCACTGAATGTTCATTTTTCAGTCAAATAAATAGTGTTATCTAATCCGTCAAACGTGACAGCAGTATATTGGACCTTAAAAATGGAAAACCAAGTTACATTTTATCTATATATATATATATATGTATATTCTGCTGCTACTGTTATAACTACTATTATCAATAATATTGTTGTTGTCTTTGAAATTGTGAAAAGTTCAGTAGCCTAGGTGGGATTCGAACCCATGTATAGCGGCCGCTTACGCCTTTTTACTGCGCACATTCTACCAGGTGAGCTACGAGGCCAAGTTTCAACATGGAACTTAAATCGGCAAACAGATTTGAACAGTGGTAGTAGTAGCAGTAGTATTACAAGTAGTAGTTATAGTTGTTGTTATTGTTGTTGTTGTTGTTGTTGACATGTGGGAGCGTCACTACACCAGAACAAACCAAGTACAACTCTTTTAGTGGTAGGCGGTTTTGCCGCAGCACAACTCGTATTCTACTGAGGCCTTTTATAGTTCGCAGTTACGCAACCGATTATCATGGGTGAACATTTGGTCATTTAGACTATGAATTTTTTGTTGGTTCTCCCATGCAAAAAGCTGCATTACCGCAACTGCGATTGTGCTTGCAATTCACAAAGTCAAATAAATGATTTGCAATTAAACTATCTAATTCTACGGGAGTTAGTCAGTTGAGTCTTAGTTACATTTATCAATCGTCTCTCTGGGGGTGGTTAATAAATCTTCTGTGACAAACCAGTGATACGGATGCATCATCCATTCTGCGCACCTTCAGAGGGACGTCAATCATGCAGGGAATATCCACCGGAATATCCTAGTCCATTTACAGCACAATTATTTGTTATTCGCTTCATTGTATGTTCCAAACCGAAAAAGCCGCATTCCTGTTTTGCGGAAGATGGGCTTACAAAGCAGGTCCTCCAAAACTATAGCAGTATTCCTCCATCTGTTTCTGAAGATCGGCTAAAGTCAAATCAAGGATGACATGTACCGAATACAAACAAAGCTTATCTGAATGCCGTTCATGGAAATCAACTCACTTGATTGCCTCTAATTGTGCCTCACCTAATATCCGCACATTCCTGGGCGGTTAGATAATTTTCTGTTACTCACTCTTGTGTGATGAACAGACAGACCGGGTTAATCTCATAGTCACGAGGACATACTATTCAGTGACGAAAAGTGGAAACCTACACTAGGAGAATAGAAGTGACGAAGCACTTTAGGCCACCCTGGTTTGGTCGTGTCACCATGAAAACTGAGTGATCGTGGTGGGATTCAAACCTCAAACTTTAGGGATCAAAGTACGCGGATGACAGCAACCTAAACAGCTTGACCACCACTACTTGAGTGGAATAGGGTTATCGCTTTTTCAACAGTAGTATATTCGGAGTAAAAGGATCATAACCGATGATTGTTTATTCATTTTGAGCTAACAGGATCAGCTCAAATGATCGATTATTATAGATCCGATCTATAAATTTTTAATTAGTGAATCTATGAAACAGTAGTGAAATTCGATATTTTGTCAACTGTTAAAAAACGTTGCCCTGGAGTTTGGACGGCCTCAAACAAAGAAGCAAGACCACGTTATACTCAGTTCGGAACTAACTGGTGGGCTCCTTAAATAATCAATCAATCAAATGAATCGTTTCTTTTCTTTCAAACTTGTTTACAATCATTGCTTTTGACTGTTTTAGTTTTAAAGGATTGCATTTTAAATTTCTTCAAATTTGTATTGTCATCAAAATCACAGTGCTGATAAGTGATAAGAATTCACTGTACCTCAACCGTGATTGTACTCGCTATGTGGCAAAACTTTGAACTTTACGATATCGTCATACATTTTCGGCAGCATTTATTGTTCACCCTAACCTCTTTAGATAAAACATCTCTTGGTGGAGCCAACAATTGGAAGCTGTGGTTACTTTGATAAATGTATTCCTGCTATAATTGATAATTAAACTTTTTGAAACCTATTCCAACAGGATATGTGGTTCAATGGTCCAACTGCTTCACCTGCCGATACGGTATGGGATTCGCTTTAACAAAGGCCACCATTAGTAAAATATGAGACAGTGACTTACTTAATTAGCATATCGTGACTTTTCTGGTCAAAATCATACGATGCACCTTTTGAGTAGTTTGTATACATAGGTTGAACGAGTCCATAACTATCGGCCGCATGCAGGGTATCTGAACCGGTCAAATATCCGTTTAGCATACGATCATTCAATGAGGTAGAGCCTAACTGGCAGTGTTCCGGATACTGTCCGCTTTTCGGAGTGGTTAGCATTGTACCGTCTGACATTTGTCCGGTGAATCGTTGTGCATCTTTCGATTTTGGCGAGAGCAGTTTCGAACGACCTAAATAGGTTGCACAACCACCACGAGACACGATAAAAATCACCGCCACGAGGATTGTGCAAATCACTATGGTAATGAGGACAATACAGATAATGATAAACTTGTTCGAACTCAATCCGGTCCCGCCAAACAACGAGCTCATCCCGAACAGATTGTCTGTCTGCCCGGCGGTGGTCAGTACCGAGGATGTGGAGAAATCCATGGTACCGATTGCTGGGATATCTTTAATCAGCACGTGGATTGTGGCTGTGGCTGTGCGTGAATTGGCCCCATTGTCCACAGCTAACACGGTCAATTTGACTCCACCCTGAGAAAGAAAGACAGAAGTGTTTATTTTCACAATTCCGATCAATTAGTTTGGAGTTTTCTGTTATGAACTTGCATCGAATAGCGTTACTGGAAAAAAAGCTTCAAAATCTGATGTCGGGTATTCATTTATGAGTTGAACGCATGAAATATGTCGGTAATCAGTTTACAACTAACCGGTATTGTACAGTTTATTACAACAATGTGTGGTGACTATAAAAGCGCTCATTTTCAGCGGATGTCAACTAAAATGTTAACTATCGTTCCATTTCGTGACTAATAATAAATCACGTGATCCGAGAGGATTGCATAATACTCTGCTTCATTTTCATCCATTTTCACTGATCTACCGACGTGATTTTTTCATTGTACTGTTGATGAATGTTATCAGCAGTTGCTATATCTGTTAGAAGTGTCGATACAGGTCATAAAACAGTGTGTAAATACTTGATTACTATTGAGAGAAAACTGATCGTGATGATTTAGTTGTTTGCGCGCACAAATCAATCAGACTGAGGTGAAATTCTGATTGTCCTCCATGCGTTCAACTACATTTCGAACTCGGTAGTTTGAAAAAGAACAATTTCTGAAAAGAGATTCTATCGTAACGTTTTTTTAGCTGGCTTACAGCGGACACTTTCTATACCTCTACATCTCTCCCACTCCTCTATTTCGCACTGTATAGAAAAGACCAATTAGCGTTATATTACGGTTAGTTGGCAAGGGGACTGATTCTCTAACCTAGCGGGGATCTATTTTAAAGGCTTGATGCATGGGCTTGGCAAACGTTTGTGTCTGGATTCGATTCCCAGTTGATTCGAAGAATGCTTGGTGCCAATGACAAATAGCCAATTAAATGAAATAGCTGCGAAATCTTCTCAATCGTTTCACCCTCACAGAACAAATTGAACTTTCATAAATTACTAGATAACAATCGTTCGTTCGAACTGATAGTGATCGGAATTCTGTGAACCCCGCACTGCCCTTTCTCGGTAATCAAACGGTCCAGATTAGAGCAACGTGTTTCTGCAGACAATGTAACAGATTACAGTATAGTGAAAAGGTTTTTTACTTGCGCTTGTGGTGAATTGATTTATACTAAAAATGTGTCCTCGGAGCTGCTAAATATTATTACCTTCACATTCGATGCTGTCTCTGAAGATCAATTCGTAGTTTGTCACATCCGGTACACGAGTTTGTTGTGTCTCAGGTATGTTTTGATTGATGTATAGTTGCATAATGTTGAACTACATTCATGTTGTGCATAATAAGTTAACGACGCCGGCTCAAGTCTTGCACTGTGGCTGAAACCATTGGTGTCATTAACAGTCCCGGGTAAATCTCACGCAAGCCAAATTTATGGGAAGGAATAAGCAAGGAGCAATACTGGCCGACAAAGACTTGGACATCGGTATTCTCTGCAATCACCGACGATTCTGTAACTACATTGGCCAACCTATATTGGTATATTCACGCAAAAAGGGAGTCGAAACTATAGCGATCATCCCAAACTACACCATGCTTGGAATCCAAGAAAATGAAATCATTAACTCGGACAACAGTATGACATATAGCGTCACCTTTGTGTGGGTTACATGCCAGATCAACTGAACTACGTAATAGAACGACGCTATATTTACCGAATAAGAAAGTTCAATTGAGTTAATCCTGATGGGCCATATGGGCAGGCTCCGCGTGCGCACAAGACTTTTACCGGTTGAGCTTGTGGTGACATAACATTTTTGCTAAATGCAAGTTTCGGCAGGCAGTTCGCGAATATATCAGATCAGATATTCAGCTCACGTCAAACTCTTGAACGAACATACTGTCGCCAGATTCCAGAATATTGGCTGGGAAACACAGGTCGCCAATAAGATGACATGCGGCTCGCCTCACTTAAATGTGATTGCAGTAGCTGCTGCTCTGGAAGGTCAACGTAATGAATTTGGCAGCTCCAAAACCGGATTGGAACCCGATTCTAAATAGTTTGGATCTTTTATATGGAAACAGGAAGTAAGTTTATGTGAATTTAAGGCCATTCCGTGCTGCCCACAAATTAAACGTGGTTATCCTTCATTAGATGAATAATGCAGTCAATCAGCCAATTCAGAACTTCAGTGAAAGTATGCCTGAGCGTTGTGATTCGGTCGTGACTAATGAAGATAATTCTGTTCTTTTTTTAACCATTTTCCGCTCCTAACACCCTCAGAGACTAATTGTGTGAGGAAAAAGACAGATTATCATGGTCAAAATTGAAATACGCTTAGCTTTTCTATGCGATAATGGGTTGCATTAACATCCCACCAAATGTGATCATTCCGGGAGGTTTTGGTTAGCGAAAAAGTTGTGGAGAGCGAAAAAAACGGAGTTAGGTTAGTAGCGTTTCACACACCGGGAGGCGTATTCCCAGCAAAATAGTCTGACATTCATTATTAATCTAACATCAAAGTTTCACTTACCTGGTCCCGCTTTGTCAGCGGTCGTTGTAGAAAGAGTTCACCGGTTTTCGGTTGCAGTTTGAAGTTCTCAATAACCGGGCCGTCGACCAATAGGAATTGTATGGCCGCATTCGGGCCGACATCTTCATCGGTCGCTTCCAGTCGTGCGATCATATGACCTGGTTTCTCGTGAATGGACAATTCGATCTGTACAGTGTGTACGTCCCGAGTGAGAGATAGGTGCGCCGGACAATGAAACATGAAGACGGATAAAAACACCTTTCATGGAAGAAATCATTTCGACTCCCATACTGAACCGTGAGTGATTTGGTTTAGTTTCGTGGAGTGGCAGTACAAGAGACATTTAGGATTAAGCTTATCTGGACAACATAAATTTTCAGATTGCTTTTCTCTACCGACAAACAAATAGTTACTGACTGCTTCTGTTCACAATCGAGCCAAGTGTTAATTGGATCAATATGAAAGACATTGCTCGTGGTGGCTGTTTATGTGTTAACTTTGTTTTTATCTGTTCTTCAGTCTATTCCTCATATCGATCGAGATGACATTTATACGAAAATTTTGGTTTGTAAGCTATGGTAAAAAGAGGTGTGAAAATGCTTATGGATCAACAAAAACTGACGAAACCACTTGTTTTCACATTGCAATTTAATCTTCACCATATGACAATAGAATTCGATGTTTATCCAGTAAAATCGGATGCTGTAATAACCGGTCAAGACGCGTGGTTTGCATCTGACCAGAATAAACACTTTATCGTTGCACGAAGAAAAACAACATGCGCATTTATTTCATGCAGCTTCCGCCTACCAGCCTTTTTTCAAAAGAACTTGATAACCACCTTTGTTTATACATGTGACATGATTGTCGTTGCGGGTTTATTCACAACTGAGCTACAACAGAGGGCATGTGGTGTCTCGTGTGACAGGTGGAACGCAACCGATTAATCTAAGAATCGACCCTACCTACTATTCAATAGTTCCGAAGAGATTTGGACTACGATTGATCTAGTGTTATGTAGATTAACTGGATTTAGATCTTTGAGGAATCATCTATATTCGAGTGGATCCTTTGATGACGGTCTTGCCTGAGTGACATTTTCTCGCTCTTTTCATCGCGAATTCCACACACCAGAAGTGTGTGTGTGTGTGGCTTATGCATAGTGCTCACAAGGGCGTAACAACGGGGACTTTATCTGGACGGACTAATGACAAGGGGATAGATTTTAAAATGTGGTAATCTATAAGACTTCTCCCCATCATTCACGCCATACAACACCGTACACGAATGAAAAATGTTACATTAAGGTACCGGAAATGTATGTGAGCATGGTTTGCGCTGAGTAATTCCATCCGCTCAGGCCTGTCCTTGCTTTCTGGCAATATGTTGCCCTTCAAAATATTGTTGTTGGTTTGATTCAGTGACACTTCACGAATATTTAGTTATGTTAATTTTTCGAAAACAAACAACATTGTACGCTTATTGTAGCCCTGCAATGGAGATGTAGAATGTGGACAGTGTAACCCAAAAGAGAATTGTGTCTCGGTGGACAAATAACGCATATGTACAAACTATTAGAGATTTGAACATATTACTTTCTCTTACTAAAGCAAATCAAATTTTCATTTGAATGCTCAGTGGAAATCCCTGAAATTTTTGTCAGTTTTTTATGGTTCTCTCCGAGTTTAGGGACCTTAAAATATTTTTTGGTTCTTTTGGAAAGGCATGTAGAAGAGATTGTTCAACTTGCATCTCTTTTGTCCTCAAAAGGATTATTGTGACAAATAACCTCCCCCCCCATGAAAACGCGTGTTTGTAATCCCTCTCCGAATTGTTGCTTCCTTGTCTGAGTCATCCGTTTTGTTCTTCTTTCCGGATTCCACTTGAACCGTGCTTCTCAATTAGCTCCTGACAATACACTCAACAAGTGAACTATCTTAAAAGAGGAATTCGTTGTGTATATGGTAAATGAAGCATAAACTGAAAAGCTAGGAAGCACCGGACAGGTGTTTCGACCTGGTTGGGTTTTATCAGTGGTGCAAATCTATCAACCCAACTAGGGACCGAACCCGAGACCTCATAGGCAGAACATGAGCATGCTACCCACTCGGTCACCGAACAGCTGATCAGATCGGTTCTCGTTTTCCATCTACACGATATAGCACAGCCCATCTTTGCGAGTTTGTTGTGAACCGCGGACCTCGCTCATCTCAGCACGAGCCTCCGGTTGGAAGCTTTCACAACCTGATTACTTGTTAACATGCGTGTAGCCTGATTGCGTTCTGCCTGTGAGGTCCAGGGTTCAATTCCTATTTGAATCGATGGATTCACATTGCTGATAAGACTCAGGCAGGTCGAGACAGCTGTCCAGTGCTTCCTAGCTTTTCAGTTCATGCTTTGTTTGCTTTATACTTGACGACTTGCCCTTTGAAAATGAACCGATTCCTCCATTACTTATATGATGAATGATGCATAGAGAAACAGTTATGAAATCCTTTTACGCCTTTCTGACTCCGGCAGGCTTTCCCCCACCAAAAGAGAATGTTTAATGTTGCAGTTTGGTTCTTCTGCAGTTCTTCACATATCGTCCTGAATTGGTCAGCTTTGAACTGGAGAATCTGGAGATTCCCGTTTTAGCGAAGTCAAGCCCAATTTGTTTTCTTCTAGGTCTGTACAGATAGCAATAACATACTTGAACACTATTCGCACATCTGGGTGATTAGGAAAACGCGGCATACGATAAGGACCATATGATGCCTTCACAGGGTGCATGTTACGTGGTCGAATGACAGTTTTTCTAGCGATGCAATATATTGTTAAAACAATTTCATTTATGTTTCTCTATTTGAATGCAGTATAACCCCTTTTTCATTTTACTTCCTTTTATTGAGTTTATACAATTTGTACAATTTTCAGGAAGGGGGAGGTGGCCAATCAAAGGGCTGCCATTCAACACACAATGAATGAAGTCAGACGGTGGTGGTGGCATTCGAACCCCCGGCCCTCGAGGTTACGTCACCACTAGGCCACCACCACCCATTGGTGCGATTACCATCATAGATATACCCATCTGTTAAAAACAGAAATATGTGTATCCCATTAGAACTACGGTATATCTGTGGGGTGAAGTCTCATTCACAAAGGTGCCCACAGAGGTCCGAAAATACCATCGAAAGCATTCCGATGTCATTTCTTTTGACTGAGTTAGCTCAAAATGGTAGACAATTTTGCAATATATTATTTGTAAAGTTGTCGGAGTATCTCTATCGAGGTTGACTGAGAAATTACTGAAACCAAACAACCTTTGTTTTAATCATGAAAAGATAACCAACCGCGTTTCGATTCGAATCCACGCATAGACGCAGCCCGTGATTTTGTGTACCGAATACTCTCTTTGTTAGTCGAGTTATAAGAAGTATAGGGAATTTCATATACCTCTGTGATTTGAATGGGTCATCCAATTATGCAAAGATCAGTTACATCGAAAACATTTCGGACAGCGCACTGAGCGCTCTGAGAGCTGATGAGGCGACAAGACTCCGTTGATAGTACATTTGTGATCACTCATACATCCTGCAGATAGATAGGACATGCACGGGGAATATGTAATCACAAAATGCGTGGACAAATTTATTTTACTGCTAGTTATTAGTATTCTGTTTATGAATAGCTCCGATCCATATAGAGTTACCGAGTTTGAGGTATTGCAAGAAGTAATCTGTCCGTGTACTATTGTGACGTGTACTATTTTGATTTGGCTTCGACCCAGCACTCACCTCAACGAGTGTTCATGTATGTGTAACGGTATCTATAAACTGTGGTCCGCTTTTACTAGTCATTCAATAGCTTGGAAATTATCTCATGAATATATGGCTGGTTAAAATCGAACTGCATCAGCCTGAAAACAGCGGTATCCCGGCTCAATCTTTCATGCATGGACAATGCCCAATAAGCCACTCATCATATTGCGCACAAGTGATGCACTGCATAGGCTTGTACGTTTTTATAGTTTCATAGGCTTTGTATGAAAAGCAAAACAGTAAAGCAAGCCAAGCAGGTCATGTATGTGTTGTGAGATACTACTTACACTTGTGAGTAGTTCTCAAAAAGATACGTTTAGCGGTTTATTGCAACTATCAAAAATAAATAACACCACTCAAAACGAATTGCTCTGCTCCAAAAAATAACTACGAACTGTTTCATTCTATAACCTTTGTGCTGTCGGAAATTATAATGACATGTTTTGAATGAGATATCGTGTTATAAGTATACCAAATTATCGATATCCTAAATGCAATTTGCATAAAAAAACGACTATCTTCGACAAGGCACCCTTTGTGGAATTATAACATCTGAATAACATTGAGAATCTTAGGGTCATTCGAAATTTATGACCCCAAACAATATCTGTAAATATTGTAGAATTCAAAGGAAACCCAATCGGTTCAGGTCTGAATGGATTCACATTCGGGGATTTTCTATGCTGTTTTCCCATACAGTTTGGAAGAACAAAAAGTTGTAAAGACATCTGTGTAACTTATCCTGTTATAAAATTCTGACACGTTTGACTCTAGACGTATAATTTTAGAGGTGCATCAATCGAACTCTTGTGATATCATTCTAAATTCAGAAACATATTTCACTTGTCAATATCATGCACACATATTTATGATTATGGGCAAAAGTTCTATCTTGCACCACAGTATTTTTAATTCTCTTGTACTACCATTGAAATTAGCATGACTTTGATTGTCACGATAGAGTTTTTAATAGTTCAAAAGTTAAGAGTTCCAAATTAGAAAAGATTTCGTGCAGAGTAGCATGGAAGTTAATTCTTTCCAATAAATACTGTTTATTGTTTCTGGATGGCATTGATACTGATCGACCGATGTATTCTGAATGACATATCTTTTCGTCTTCAAGTAATTTACCCCGTATAAATTGAAGTGTTTTGTCTACAACTTGCTCTTGTCATCGGCTTAAAAAGTGAGTATTTGTTCTACTTGGTGACTTGGGTGGGAAGCTGTATTTAATTACCGCACAACCTGTCATTGGGCACTCTGGTACTCTGGAAAGCGAAAAATTTGTTACATTGTACAAGCACATGTTTGATCAATACCACTGCTGAAACGCATTCGCACTAAGCAGTATCTCTCTAAAGTCAAACCCTATAACAGATCTGTTGCAAGCTTTGAATATAGACCTTTTAGACTTTATCATATCTTGTTTTCTGAAGTTTA